ATTAGGGAAGAATATACTCCATAGGCCTTAAGAAAACTAAGGCCCTACGGGAGGCTATATTCCCTCTCCCGGAACTAGTAGACCTATTAGACGTTTACGGCGCTAAATATCTATATACGGTAGATATCCCTAAAGAAGTTACGGAGAAGGATATACTTAATATTATTAAGATACTCCTAAATGATAAAGCACCTAGACTAGATGGAATTCTAAATTAATGCCTAAAAAGTACTATAAAAGTAACCCTACCGCTTATTACTTATATATTCTAAGCATGCGTCATGTAGGGGTACCACCCCTAGAGCTTCCGAGTCGCCTATACTATTATACTCCCGAAGCTAGGAAAGAGCCCTAACTCCCTAAAGGGATAGAGACTAATCGCCCTTCTCTTCTACCTAGGTAAGATACTAGAGGCTATAGTAGTGAAGAAGATAAGTACCGCGGTATAGGAATATAATCTCCTCCCTCCGAACCAGAAGGTAAAGATAGATAGCTCTCTAATAATAGCTATCTAATATATTATTAAAGTCGTCTAGGCCGTATAGAAATAGGGACGGGTAGTATCGCTCCTCTCCCTCGATATGGCCGGAGCGTTTAATAAGGTAAACTATATAAGACTTATTTATAACCTCCGGATAAGACGAATACTAGAATAGATTATACGCTTTATATAGTTATTCCTTATAGGAAGAATAACTTAGATATATATCCCTAGGTACTAGAGCGAATATAAAGAGACGGTATACGGTATCCTATAAGGGAGCACTATCTCTCTAATCCTATTCCTCTTTTTTATGGTAGACCTTCTTTAAGAAATAAAGTATATAGAGGTAGTCGGATACGCCGATAATATATATCTTCTAGCTATTAATAATAATACTAACCGAATGTATAGACGACTAGAATAGGACCACGAGAGGTGCCTCTAGTAGGTAAAACGCTACGGAGTAAAGTTTGCCCCGGAGAAATACTAGCTCATGCACTTTATTAACCGTTAAGGGAAATAGATAACTAGGGAAGGCGAATAACGCCCCCGAATTAACGTATTTAACGAACTACTAGTATAAAGCATACGCGCGCTCGGAGTTATACTAGATAGTAAGCTTAAATAGGGACCATAAGTAGTATACGCCGTCTCTAGAGCCCTCTAGATAGAAGCCGCTATATAATGGATTATAGCCTCCACGTAGGGAACCGCCCGGGATAAGGCACGCTAGCTATATATATCTATAGTACGACCCGCCTTCACGTACGGACACGAGTACTAGTATATAGCCCTTATATAGACTAGGCGAATGAAGCTCGAATCCATATAGAACCGTATACTCTATCTTATATTAGGCGTATATAAAGCTACTAACACGGTGCTACTACGACGCGAGATAGACGTTATAAGTATATATAACTTCTACTAGATATAGAGAGTAGTATACTTTACTAAATAATAAGTATAGAAATATATAGGAAACGTAGAATATACTTTCGCCGCGCTACGTGTACGAATTAGTATATATTACTATATACTTCTATATATAGGCCGGAATTAAATACGGTATAGGTGCTTAATAGAAGCCGACTCTAGCTAAGTAGTATAAGAAGTCCGAGATAACCCGGACGCTCTTCTAGACTAGTAGAGCCTTTAAGAACTCGTAAAAAATATACGGTCGTGGACTTAAGATAAGTAGAAAGAGGCACTCCGTGCCTACTAGACCTTCTAGTAGAATAGGTACCTAGAGTAGATTCGAGGGCCATAGAAGGAACTAAGTAAATAGATATATAAAGGGCTAATAAAAGCCTAAGCATCTATACTTATCTAAGCCCGAACGGGCGCTATAGGACTCCTATACTATATCTATAAGAGAGGCGTTCCTAATATCTCCCTATAATATAAGGCGTACGGCCGGAGAGGTATAATATACCACTATCTAGCTATATACCCTAACCTCTATATATAACGGTAATGGCTTATCCACGTTACGAAGACTTTAGATATTATATAATAGCTTAATAAGTACCCTAAGGATGTCTCCCGATAGATACTTATATATCTACTACTCCTCTAGTACTAGTAGACCCGGAAATATATACCGGAAGAGACCCGGTATATACTAGTAGTAACCCGATATATACCGGAAGAACCCCGGGAGAACCCCGATTATTAGTTAAGGGCAGCCCTTAACTAATAACCTCCGCACCTATACGTGCTACCTAAGGGTAAAATAACGGTAATATAGGTTATAGGCTAATAGGTGTACCCTATAGCTATATACTTAAGACGAAATAGAGGTTTAACGAGATGTAGTTATAGATATAAGGAAGTTTTTCCCTATGGGGTTTCTTCTTATATAGTGGCTTAGACTAGAGAAGGTATAGGCCTATAGAGTACTACTCTACCTAGTTATATAATATTATTATTATTATTATTAATATATAACTAGGAGAAAAGGTATATAGAATTTAGTTACTTACTAAAGAGGATATTAGTAAGTTTAACCTTTTTTATAGAACCGTCTAAGAGAATATAATCTAGGAAAACTATTCTAATACTATTAATAGGAATCTTCTAATAATTTATAATTAATATATTACTAGAGGTGCGTGGTTCTAGTAAGGTAAAGTTATCTATATAACCCGATATATATCGTAATACACCTAAATCGAAGATCTAGTTATATACGTCTACGGTTACATTAGAATTCGTAAGAAGTCTAATAGCTTTAATACTTAGATCCGAAAATATTACTAAAATAAGAGGCTAACTTACTACTCGAGATCGCTTACTATTTATATTAGCTTTAGTTACGAAGAAACTAACGACGTTATTATTAGAGTTAGATTCGGAATCTAAAATTTCGATAACTTTAGCCTTATTAGCTTTTTATCGCTTGCTTAAGAAGTCCTTTTTAGAAGACTTCTTATCTAACTTATTTTTAGACTTATTATTATTCTTAGAAGCCTTAAGCTTACGGTAGTTCTAATACTTATAGCCTTTAGAAGAGAAGCCGCGTTTCTTATACTAGGTGCATTTAATATTAGAGATAGAAGCGGAGGTAGAGAAGGAGTTAGACTTCTTTAACTTAGAAGGCTAACTAGACTTACCCTTATAGCTTACCTTATAGCTAGTAGTATCGGATTTAATACTATATTTCTTAGCTAGATTAAGTATCTTTAGCTCGATGTCTTAAAATTATAATATATCTTAAGTTAATAAATTATTAATAATATAGTCTATAGTATTAGGTAATAAGATAAGAAAGAATAAACCCTTAACCTCTTTAGACTTAAAAATTAGACGTATTACTTTTATGACTATATAAGATAAAGTAGCGTATCTTTTTACTATTTGTATCTAGGTATAATAGAAATTATTAATATATTTATAGATATCTTCTCTGTCTTTATAGCGGAGGTTAGCGAGTAATCTAAATAGATATATTAAAGAATTACCTATATCACGGTCGAAACGTAATAATAGATAACTCTATATAGCTACTACTATATTATAGAAAGTAAGATCTATAATAAGATCTTAATATATTAACGAGAGTAATATAATTATTATCTTATTATTCTTTATATTTTAATCTATTATATCTATATATAAATCCGTGACTCTAGTACTAAAGGGTCTAATAACCCTACTAGAGACTATTATCTATAATTATATATATTTAAATATAATTATCTAAGCTAATCTCTACTCGGGGAAATTCTCTCCTCTTAAAGATAGCTTAGATAGAGAGAAAGGGTCGAGTTTGAAATTAATAGACATGGTTATTAACAAGTTTCTCGGGTTCCTTCTCTTTCTTTATATAGGACTTATTCTAACTCTTTCTATTTATTACGTATTCGTAAGAAAGATAGTAAAGGTAAAAGAGATAGGAGGACGGTATAGAGGACGATATAGAGGCCGGGAGTTAATAAGGTAGTAGAATTAAAGTAAAACTTTAATAAGATTAATAAGACAACTAAGTTTTAGAGAAGGGACTTGCTTTTATTAAAATATAATAGTTTTTATTAATAAAGAGGTGTTTTAAGGCTTTTATAGTAAAGCGCCGGGCTTATAACCTATTATTAGTAGAAAGTAGACGTGATTAAGGTTATTAAATATATTCTATAATTATGTGTAGAGAACTAAGTTCTAGGAGACAGAGTCGAAGCTATTTAACCGTTTAGACACTAGTCCCGTTTAGGAAGCAGTGTCTCTCACTCAAAGTACCTTCCGACAACAACGGACATTAGTTGGCGACCTATAGCTGCCCGCGCATTACGAACACATTTCCGTCCATAAATAATATCTTCATCCTCAACCATATAGCATAACGTGTACACACAGCGAGCACTGCTCTACCTAAGTCTTTATAATTAATTGGGCATTCCATGAGCGAAGAACCGGTCGTCGCCGCATCGCATCTCTCGTAGCTTAGGCCCCCCTCCAGAATCAAGAGACAAGTCTATGCTGAGAAGCAGTCCACCAACGACCCAGCGACGTCGTAATATATCCCAAACTCAGCTACGAGCGATTGTCATGCTTAAATAGACAAAGACACCTAAGGATATTGTAATGGATCTCACTTGCAAGACGATAAAGATAACTGGATGCTTTCTGCGCAGAAAGATAACGAATCCGCAAGTGAGCACATTTCATTTCGAGATTCAAGCTGTCTCCTTATTTTCGCAAATATTGGCCCCAAATTTAACACCATCCTGGTATTCCCAACATGTTCTGAGAGCGTCTCGATCATGTCGAAATCGGAACGGTTAGTCAAGTATGGCTCTCACTTCTTTCGCGGAGTGCTTGCCCTCCATCCAATCATCTTCTTTACAAGGCCCGACATCAGTCCGTTTTCAGACTCATCAACTCGCGAAGAATTGTCTGCGTCGAAGACTTCTGACCCGTCTCGGTCGTCGAGGTCCCCTTCATCTCCCTCGTCTCCCTCGTCTCCATCGCTGTACTTAGAGTCACCTATATCTTCCTCCTCGTTGTTTTCCTCCTCGTCATCCACCCGTCCCTCTAGATCTTCTTCCTCTATGGACGATGCCGAGTCTTCGTTATTAAAATCGTCGACCTGGGATCTCATCTTTGACAGTGCGAAGTGAAGCAACCGGTTGGCAAAATCATTTAAACCGGATACCTTGCAGAGCTGTGCAAGACCTGCTTGTGTGAAGTGGTCCTGGGCTTGTGGCCACCACTTTGTTCCGGAAAACGGGACCTCTCTCCAGAATCTATGGCTTATTAGTATGAAGATATCATGGAATTTCATAGTGGTACGTGCTTCTTCAAGCTCAACTCGTCCTGGTGTCGGTTCAAATCGGCCTGTGCAAATATAAACAAGCAACCAGGACCCCAGATTGAAACGAAGTGGCCCATACGCTTTCCAAAAGCTACGCTTTCATCAATCTTCTCCAGCGTCCTGAGCCGAAACCGAGGATCGTTCGGCCACAGCGACTCCAGGAAGTCAGCAATGGCATCTCGGGTAGCCTTTATCGGCTTCCTTGCGGCGGCACCCTGGCGAGAATTCGACACCGGGAAGAGCTTAAGAAACTCGTGGTATACCAGCCAGCAATAGTAGATACATGCTCGGACATGGACTGTCTGGTCTGTCAAGGAGTCGAGGAAGAAGATGATTTCGCCAATGTTCGGGCCTACCGACAGCTTTCGAGTTCCTAAATCAAAAAATCGCTCGGGGGAGCCATTACACTTCCGCAGCAAGTTCTCAAGGGCGTCATTTACTCCAGTCTCTCGCTTTAGTATGGTCCATGGATCATAAGCTGGACGTACAATCGGTGTAAATACCAATGAATTGCGTGACACACCAGAAGGTGAGCGGCCAGCAGAGTCTTCTACTTGCTTTGGCACCCTGCGTGGAGCCGTTGTGTTCTTTGCCATGGAGAATCTTTGGTAAAGGAATTTCAAGTTCTTCTGGACCACAGCCGGAAGAATGATGTCAGATTCGAAGATCATCCTAACGGCCTGATTGTTGTCAGCCGACCCTCCTATTACGCTGTTCGTAGAGTTGTCTGTAGAACACTCGTACCTCGTTGTCTGAGAGTAGCCGAATGAACGTCTCAGTGAATGAAGGAGCGTCATACGCGCCACTGTTTGGTTCATGGGCGTCACTCTCTGGTATGACGTCTTCGCACTCATCGTCGGATGGGCTTACACTTGGAGTTGGCTGTAGAGCAGCAGGTTCCTGCGTTGAAGGCTTTGGCGTTTGAGCTCGCTTTGGCGGTCGCCCACGCCTCGCTGGTGGAATAGGCTCTTGAGGTACTTGTGACTTTTCTGGCTCTACGGGCTGTGGTAGGGGAACCCTTGCTGGCTGCGAGGTACCATTAGCGTTAGCACTATTGTCGACACTTCGCTTGTTAATGCGCGTTAACCTAGAATTACCAGCCCGTGGAGGCATTTTGACCGTCCACACAAATGGAGGTAGAAAATTCTGCGCAGAAATGGTGTCAAAGGGAGAGAATCTCATTAGGAAAGCGAACGAAAGATAGAAACCGCGCCAAATTTTAAGCAAACAATCCATGTGGCATGGGCCAATGATCTACGTTACACAGTTGAAGTAATAATATATATTAAATCCGCCTAAGGAACTAGCAAGCTTACCGGGAGTACACATGCTCTAAAAAGTTTCAAGAGTTAAGAGGGTTTCTGTAGCGAAGTCTAACATAGAATAACTAATAATATCTTCTATTATTAAGCCGACGAAGGGCCTCTTGGCCGTATTAAAGCCCTAGTACTATATATGACAAGGAGGCCAATAACGTGGATTCAGGCGTTAGTCTTAGCTAGATGCAACAGCCATCACATCGAACTTCATGACCTCTTCATCCTACGAGCTCTACCTTACGCATTTAATAATGCTTTTATAGTAGAGGTCATTGGCTTCTGCCGTTAATTACTATCGTTGCGCCCCCATTGACTAGACTCTTCTCTCTTACTAGAACTTAAGTATATACATGTATACATATTCTAAGCGTACTTGAATTCGCAAAGGGTTTAATCGAAAGGACTATAATTGGTAAATCTCGGTTACTCTAGGCTCTGATTATAACAAGGAAAATAATTTGTAACTTCTTGAAGTTTACTATTACTGAAACTCGGAGACTCCGGGCTACGATTTTTGGAATAGAGTACGGTATAATGCTAGCTATTATCGAAACTCGGAGACTCCGGGCCACGATATTAGACTATAACATAGTATAATACTTAGATACTAGACTATTAGACCTAGAGAGAGTAAAATAGAAATCCCTAGATTTCTTAAGATATACTTTTAGATATATATTATTGAACTCCGGAGTATAATAGATAGTAATATAGAATAGTAGTTACTACTTAATATAATCGATGGCGTTAAACCGCTAGACTTATATAATCTGTTAGCGGTATTATTGGGACTTAACTAAGGTTAGGAGCTAGTAAACTTATATCTAAACGGGACTATCATAAAACTAAGAAGCTACTATGTCTAGCTCCAAGTACGATTAACATAATATTAGCGCTATCAAGACCTTAGAACAAACCACTCATTGCTAAGATTATTGCTAGAATGCTTTGGCTCAAAGATATCTTCTCACAGCGGTGGCGATACTCAGTCCCACAGCATCGATAAAAACGATTTTTGGCATATAATTATGAATCTTACAGATAAAAACTACCCTGTATAACGGTTCTTCTTTGCTTTTCCATCGAATACCATAATACCATGCGTGCCACCGAACAGCAGAATAACATGCGAGTGATACATGCGATGAGTAACCCGTTTATTGCAATGCCCATAAAGTATGCTAAAAGGTCGAACTGTGCGAAGATGTCTAGCCACTCTTGATTTTGGAACGCGTTGCGACTCTGTTCGCGTTAAACATACGATCGCGAACAGACACTATTATCGGTAGATAAGGTCTTCCGTGATGCTGGTTAAAGACCAACTATTTTTTCGAAATTTCCCGAGAACTAATCACCGTTCATGCTGTTTCCCTTTCCGTTACACGGGTAAAACTCCATCCATAGGAGATGAGGACTTCCCTAGATTGGTATGTACTTCAAAACGCAAAACTAGCATAGATTTGTGCTACCGCCTCTGATACCTAGTAGTGCAGTCGACACTGCTAAGTGATGTAGTGCTCTCTATGCTGTTAGGAAGGTGATTAGTGATTATCTCTAATGTGCCACAATCAATGAACAGCACTCCCACGCTTAGCTTTCGTCATAGTCCTTGCTTCTGGTCCCGAATCTAGAAATCCACTAGTCCAAGTGCGTATGTAAGCAAACAAGTTTTCGCGAAGGGTCCATATCAATCATGCTGTATTCAAGCCCTCGTGGATCTCGGCATGTGTTAGTATAAGTAATATCAAGCAACCTACCAATTGTGCGTGAGATAGGCACCAAGGTTTGAAAAATATCTAAGTACATATACAAAAGAAGCGACGAGAGTCCGTATGGGCTTTTGGACGTCAAATGTAGATAAAGAAGAGTACCTAGAATATTACTATGATCTAGTCATCAACCTCTATATAGAATAAGACTTGGATAGAAACGAAGTGGTGAGGTAATGCTTCTGTTATAGATAGCCATGCTCATACCCTAGTCTAGCGAATACGACTTTGGCCGCAGCCATGGGGCCACCAGTCATAAGAGCAAGAAGGTGTGCGACTCCAGACACAAAGGAATTGTATAAGAGAAGCCGTGGATAGTAGAAACTATGTTACCAACCTGGCATTCGTGCCAAGCGGTTCATGTCCATTGAACATCAAAAAGAGTAAGCCGAGCCAAATTGATTTACAGATTCTTCGACTTCGACACTTTCAAATCGACCTCCAAAATCGAAGACGATCAGGCGGCGCACTTGAACTTCGTGTGCACAGTCCACAGTGTCGATGAATTTCAAAGGGACAGAAATAATATTATCAGTAAGGAGTAGATGAAGCGCGTTAGGGAGGAAGCCGAGAGAGGGCAGTGGAGAAAAAGATCAGGCTGGAGGCAGCTCCTTGAAACTTTGAATGAACGATCAGAGGATGATGACCCATTGGAGTCGCTGCCTTGGAAAATAGCCAGGCTTCGGCACCAGCGGGTTACGAGTGATCCTTCGAATTGGGGCCTGTCCTATTAAAGACCGCTCAAGAAGGATAGAGCGCTAGATGAAGGCGTCCCGAACGTCTCGCTCATCATAACATTAAAATCACTCGTTTTTGAATAGCTAGCAAAGTACGCCGAATATAGGCAGAATTGTGTACCGATACGGTGTGGAAAAAAAGGAGCTAAAAATGCAAGAACTACAAAAGGTAATGAAGACGATAAATATCATAAGCTCTGTAGTCGATTAAGTAATTTTAATAATAGCATAGAAGCCGGATCGGTTGTTTACGAGGGCTTCCTTTAGTCAAACCAGACGACCTAGGAAAAGCCTTCTAGGCGTCCATCGCTCTATTCTCGCCTAAGGCTTCGGGAGCAAGACATTCGCTAAGTAAGTATCGGCAGAGTTGATTTCGGATTTATTGATAATTTTTATGACCACGTGTTGCTTCTCCTGTGAATTAAAAAGTGATTCGTGCGGCAAATACGATCATGTTTGGCATAGATGGATGTGAACTTGGAGCAGGGCATCTGAAAACCCTGGGAGAGTCTGTGACACTTAGGATTCCACAAGCATGGTTGACATGCGCAATCGACACTCAAGTTTGGGGATGTGTGTTCGCCAACGCTGTGAAACTTTGATTTCAGTGCACTGGGTGAATGAAAGTGCCGGATAGGTGGATAGTTACAAACCATGATCTCTCTTCCCATGAATGTAAGCAGTAACAAGCCCTAGCCCGAACATTATTTACTAAGCAAATCGGTAAGCTAAATAGCATTGTTCTTCTCCACTTCACCGGGTCGGTGCAGGGGCTGACATTGACCTATAGTTTAGCCCGACTGTGTTAAAAGCTACGTAGCTATAGCGCAGCATAAGCCAATACTAACAGGTTTTTTCCCTTCCAAGCCTTGCATACATATGGTGCATTATCTAATTTAGGGCTTTGTACACTGGTGTAAGCGTACTTGTCCTTTCAATCATCTCGTCTTTAGATGAAAGACTGCGTTTACAGACAATAGAATGGCTGTATGGATACGAGAACCTTATTTGTAAAGACGGACCTCCCCCTAGTCCATAGAGAATGACCTAACAAATGATTCTAAAGTTGCTAGCTGCGCGTTCCTAGTACTAGTATTACATCATAGGGGTATAGATAGATAAGAGTATTCATTAATGTATTTACAAGCTAGCTAAGCCTAGTAAAGTTTGCGTAGAACACATCCTTAATTAACTAGACACTGGTCTTCTGTACACTCCAGGCCACAAGGTTGTGCTAGCTGTATACATATCTCTGATGAGGTATCATCTTAGCCCATCTTTGTTCGCATAGTAAGCGTCTATGCTATCCTACACAATGAATAGGCCAAATCCACGTTAGACCTACCATCTTTTAGCCACTGTTGTGACTGCTCCAAGATTGTCATTTGGATGTTACAAACAAGCAACTTACACCGCCTACTCTCCTGTGTCGGGAGAAAAACATCATGTTTTGCTAATACTGTTTGTGCCGGGCGCTACGAAGCCTTTTGTCTTGAGGCACGGCACTCATGGCTTTCTCAGGGCATGCAGTATGGTTGGTACGTATAAATAGAGCACATTCGGCAGCAAATGCTCAGATTCTGCTCAGGTTCTGCTCAGATTCTGCTCAGACTCACCTGCTCCATCGCTCAGATCCTGCAGCTTCCTCAAATTTGTAAGTGTCAGAGTATTCTGCTGTGACTAGTAACGGAATGCCTGTACCTGGCTATTTCCCACGAACTCCCTCACCATCACCGGCAAGCGGAAGTCGCTCGTATCGCCTTTTCCGTACGCTTGTGCCCGCGCCAGAAGAAGCAATGATGAATATCGCGAGTCCATCCGAGAGCAGCTCAAGCTCGCCGACCCCGGAGCAGCACGACTTTGTTGACTCCGTCTCTGAGTTGCACCTGTCAGCACTGCACGTCGACGAAGACAACAGAAGGTCGACCCGCCAGGCATCCCTTGGACCCAGCGACAGCGCTTCGTATGTGACGGCACGAGACTTCAACACAGTTTATGCACCACCAGAAGATCAAGATGGCGAGAAGCATGGTCTCAACGCTTCCGGCATAGAGTCGATGACTTTGCCGGGAGGTATCACTGTCAATGTGACATACGGCAGGCATGCAGCTTCACTCAAGGTATGTTTGACGGAACCTGGTGCGCATTGTTAGAATATTCTACTAAATTCACCTCATAGCATTCTCGTGTTTCCGACAGCGACATGGACCACGTGCTTGGCGAAGAAAACGGAGATGACAATAGCTCTGGCGACGACATCAGCACTTCACGACCCTCTCCGAGCCCATACAAGCGTGCACGTCCGTCGAACAAAACCCAAGGCGGCACACGTACAGCGGCAGCAGGACGTGCATCTGGCGCCCGCCGTCGACTGCCCGACTCCAGCATCTCAACTCACATGCGCGGTATGACAGCGGCGAATACATTGAGAATTGCACAAGAAGCCCAACGCCGCAGGATCATGCGCGAGGCAGAGGAGGCGCACCTAGGACAGCTTCGGGACAAGGCTATGGCGATTGAGCTGTTTGACACAAGTCTGAGGGCCGCGGTGGTGAGCTTGTATCGCAAGGCGGCAGCGGATTGCCCAGAGCTTGCGGGCCTCAGTAGGTTGTATCAGGAGCTTGTGCAGGGTCTGGGAGATGAAGGGTTAATGAGGGAGCTAAGTGCGGTCGGGGTGTGGAAGGCTAGGTTTTAGATGGTCGGTGTTGATGTCGTCGTTGTCATCTAAGAGTAGTGGAATGGATCAGGTGACTGTAGCGAACTCAGCATGTCTACTTTGATGCAACTCTTCCATCCATTCTATTCGTCGATGTCCTAATCCCTGGTACTAAGTTTCTCTCCTTCTTTTTCCCATTCGGGTCTCTTCCACATCATCCGTGGCCCTCTAAGATGTTATTCCTGTAGGCTCCATGACTTACGGCCACCGCCATGCCATGTAAGGTGGTAAAGAGGGCTGAACAATCGCGCCGCCAGATCCAGATCCGGATCCAGGCCAGGGTTAGGGCCATGGTCAAACATCACACAGACCGCATGGATTCGTCGTTTGCCTAGAACCTGCTGCAACACGCCATCGATGCTGTGTGATTGCCGATGCTATATTTATCGCGACAAGCTATGTTATCGTTGACCGTCTGAATCAGTGACATACGAATGACTTCCTGCTGAGTGGTCCGGAGGTGGGTCCGACAGCTCCACACACGCAGCGGCCCGCAGGTCCTGGCAGCTTTTGATTAAAATGATGTATTTCTTCTTAGTCTCTCACAGATGAATTAGCGGCATGCGGATGCGTCCATCTTCCCGACAGTATATTGTGCCGTATGGAAGCCAAGTCACAAGCCTTGCGCAACATCATGCCGCCGTCCACGCTCGCTCGCTCGACGCGACGCAGGACCAGATACAAGACCATCGCAATCAAGTTTGGTTGCTATGCGTCTGCCGTCATCCGGCGTCCATGATGCAAGCCTTCTCTGTCTTCTCCTGTTTTTGTTGTTGTTGCCGCCGCTGTACTATATTTACCCCAAAGCGGCGCCCGTCTTCCATTCCGCAAGGCCAAACAAAAATCAAAGGAAGCTGCTGCGCTTTCCTCACGGCAGCACATATCCCACCTGTTTTCCCTTACTTTGTTCCCTTCGCGATAGCCATGGGTACCACATCTACACCCTTAGTCCAGCGTCCAGAGGGTAATGGCTATGTCACACCTGCCAGCGTTGGTGAGCGACTTCTCCCCTGATCCGTCGACAGCCGTCTAACCCCTATCAGTTCTGGAATCCGAGACAGACGCGGTGAAAGATACAGCCATCACCACGATCGCGCAGCTAGTGATGCGTCTAGACGAGCAGGACCAGGCCCTTGAGATGGTGTCGAAGCGGCTCGACAAAGTCGAAGAGCGAGAGAATAGCTCTAACAACAAACGGCAAAGGCCGTCACCCGAGAGCTCATCCAATCGATCGAAACGTCAGGCCTTGCCCGTGGATGGACTTGTGCCTGCGAAGAAGGGGTCACTGTATACGCCTCCAGTTGCAAAACTGCTCTCTATTCCGAAAGGAAAACGCATGGAACAGCTAAAGTGGACGCCCAGTGCATTCTCCTATCCGGATGCGCATGGCTGGATCTACTGCGCCTACCCACCCAACCTGATCCGCGTTCAAGATCTTGAGCGCAAGACAGTATCCGACTACGTCATGGCGATGGCCAAATACGTCGGTGAACCCCAGTCACACCGGGCTGGCGAAGTGCGTAGAGTCGACTGGCGAATCGTTAAAGAGGAGCTGAGTTACATGCGGCCCGAGGTCTCGAAGAGGGCTCGGCTGGTTAAGAGAGACGGAGGAGGTGGAATGCCACCACGGACGGACAAGGAGACAATGGTGGAGATCATCGATGATGTGAGCGAGCAGAACGTTGCGCTGGCACTTGGGATCGACTATTCAAAAGGAACCTAAACCGTTGGAAGAGCAAGAAGGCATTCTACTTCTATGACATGAGTATCAAGGTAGCGGAGGAGGCACTGGAGAGGAGTAGAGGGTGGTATTGCTACGCTTTGTAATGTATTCTTAGTGCCAGAGTTCAGATTCCAATAAATGATTCATCCCTTAATGTCTACCCTGGTCGACCGTACGCAAATCGTCACCAGCACGCAGCATTATCCAAATATGACCTTGTATTCCCACCCATCTTGCCCACCTAACCAAGCCTAGACAAATCCACAACTCATAGCGCTACCCATGTTTCGACGAACAAAGAGCTTGTGGTAGAGAGGAAGGACGATATGTGCATACGTTTGTGGAACATTGAGGCTGTAGACGTTATTCATTGATTGAATTAGTTGTGTATGTATATAGAGAGAGAGATAGTCTCTCATAAACCATTTAATGTGGTAACTACTAGTCCTAACCCGGCAGTTATAATCACTGAGTAACTTCCTTCAATACTCCCCTATACTATAAACATATATATACAAGGTGATGGAAGCGGCACAAGAATTGGCTGAATAACGCAAACCTTCTTCGGGAAAATGTAGGTCCCTAGCTTAAACTGCAGGCGTAACCAGAGCTTGTGAGTTTCTTACTTGAGTTCCGGGTTTGTTTTTGCACTCTTGTGGCTCAAACCGCTTCTTGCCGATTCCAAATCCTCATCAAGCGGAACAAAAGGTGCCAGCGTCACGGTATATCTGCTATGAAGGGTCAATAGAAGGAAATACGAGCGAAGTATAAGCTGAGTAAGAGTACCAACGAGCAGGGGGATCAAAAAGGTCTAACAATGGCGCCTAAGTGATTCGTTCAAGTAGCACTACGGCTGCCGGTCATGGATGCAAGTTGCTCTTGTTCGCCAAGTATGTGCACAAGAACATGCAGGACGACCTCGGTTTAAAGAGAGCAATTGAGTTCCCCAAAGACAGGTGATAGGAGTGTGAGCTAGCAAGGAAAGCGCCCTAGGTGAGACTGCGAATGACGAGATCTCAGTGCAAGTGGCGAGCTCTATCAGATACTTCAATGTCCATTGCCCGGTTAGCCTGCAGCCCCTTGCGTCCAAAGCGTGCTCTCCAAAACAGACGAACGTCACCTTTCTATCTCTCCTCAGCTACCTTGTGCTTATTATTCAGGGCAATGAATCTCACGAACCATTCCTTTCATGGTGAGTCAGCGCAGGGTTCAATTCCGATAGATCAGTCAATCTATAGCTTTACGCACGAGCCACGTGTCTGAAAGGCAGCATCTTCGATTCCAATGCACAGCCAGCTCCAAGCGCCCCTTAGAGAGACCTTAAGCCGCTTGCAAAGCGCTTCCTTGTCTGAAGGTCAGCACAAGTGCAACCATATTCCACTTAGTTCTTGACTCTTGCTAGTGCTGGCCGATCTTGCACAACAGTCGTCGCGCGTACTTGCTTAGAATCATCTCGGCGAAGAAAGCTTTCCTGAAGCTTGCTTTAATACTCCCTATCATGCATCTACAGGCCCTAATTCACCCTATATCATGACACTACTCAGTACCAAAGAAGATAGCATCGAACTAGTGAGCTTTATCGAGACTAAGGCTCCAGATTTCACGATCTTATTACATCGATAACAAACCCCTGCTAGCCGCAAATCAACAATTCACGATAGTACTTACTATACTTCGCGGAGTAAACCAATAGGAACCCTCGTGGGTTTGGGAAAGTTGTTGGTACTATAAAAAAGCACGGCCCGATGGACACAAGTGGATGTGGATTGATAGCTACTATGTTAATCTCATAAGTTCCACTGAGCTACAGGAGTCCCTCAATTCGATGTGGAATTACTATTCACGTGGTAACATATGCTGAGCATTCTTGGCTGATGTGCAGGACATGTTAGCAGGCGGCAAGAAATTTACGGACAGTGAATGGTAATATAGAGGACAGACATTACAAGACCTAGGTGCGGCAAGAAGCGTCGAGTTTTATAATTGCGATTGGAAATATAACGAAACTCGATACGAACGAGCTATGTAAATATCGTTCATTACAGCCATTAGCGAGGATGTGCTAACACGGCATACGTGTATGAATAATGCATGTGCAGCTAAAAAGCTTTCCTAGGCGGTACATCGGCAAGTCCTTCGAGAGGAAAATTAAAAGAATTTACTTTTGGGTCTCTTTCAAGTATACATGACGCTTCACTATGGGGAAGGCCAATAGAAAGCATTCTCTCGTCTGCAGGAAGTACTTTACGCTTCCATAGGAGATGAGACTATCCTTTCATTTCGTCGGAGTCTTCTTGGAGGCAAGTAACCTCTACTAGCCTATTTTCCTAACAGACTTTGCTCCCGTGCCTCCTATGGTAAATGTAAGGTCTTTAACTATAATTAGCTAACCTATAGTGCTATTCTCGTATACGAAACCGTACCTCTTAACAATTGAAGATTTAAGGTTTCTCGATGCCTCGAGATACTAGCCCTCTGCATTCCTCTAAAGAAGGGTGCCGGTAATATATCTCAACGAGTGCGATGTCTTCTTCTTAAGGGAACGGGAATTTAGCTTACGTCTTATAGAAGAAGAGTCTTAATCATCTACGACGAGATGCAACTAGAAGAAAGTACAACAATAGGCACAAGTTTCGAGGCTTCTAATGGAATTCAAGTAATAAGACAGACAACAGCTAATTCGATAGACCACCGGATTGCCACCACAGACGCTCGAATTACACTAGTAACAAATAAATCCAAGGAGGTAGCTTAGGAAGTGCCTTTTGTTGCTAGCCCACCCTCTTTGCAAGGATATTATATTTCACTTGTCGTAGCGTGGCTCGTGGATGATTGGTCCATACGAAAGATCGCATAGACGAATAGAGGGAGGGAACAGCCAGAGCCATATATAAGTAAGATATCGCTCGTTTATACCAAGTCTTAGAAAGTTAGCAAGCGTGGAGCCTAGGTGGCGGTGTTACTTACGACTTGTGGTACAATTCAACCTTGACAAATTAATTATATGTGGTGTTTCTATTAGAACTTCCTCAACTAAGTATCGATATAGATAGTACGCCTTCGTATTACGTGCTATCTACTTAGAACATTTAAGGGTGCGTCTATTATAATTAGTATATTATAGAGCGAGTTTAGAAAGGGAAGACTTATACGTTAAGTTTATAACCTAGTAAAGGTTACGACGTAAAATCTACGTTTATAACACGCTTAAGCTCTAAGTTTTATTACAAGTAGAAAGTAGACGTAATTAAGGTCATTAAATATATTCTATAATTATATATAGAGAACTAAGTTCTAGGAGATAGAGTCGAAGCTATTTAACCGTTTAGATACTAGTCCCGTTTAGAAAGTAGTATCTCTTACTTAAAGTACCTTCCGATAACACTCCCCTATACTAAGTATATATATATACTTAGTACTATTAGAATAAAGGAAAGCTTAAAGTAAGTAATAGTAAGAGATAGTACTAAAAGAATAAAGGAAAGAGAGATATAAGAGAAATAACTAAGAGAGAAACAGCTATAAGTAAGATAACTCTACTATAAACTAATTATCATCTTTATTTAATTTAGTAGTAGTAAGGGTAGTTCTTTTATTCCTATATTAGTAATATTATTATAACTTATAATATACTATATAGATATAACTCTATTAGTAAATAATTCTTAAACCGCGTAATAGTATATTATAATATATTTAGACTATACTATAATTTACTAGTTTCGGATAAGGGCTATAATAGCTTAATTATCTATAAGAAGATAAGGAACTAGTATAAGAATAGGGTTATTAGATAGTAGTATAGTTAGATAAAATAATAGGGTATATTCTATTATAGAATAAATTACTACTAAACCCTTTTAATAGAAATCTAAGAGTATATATATAAAGAGACGCTAATCTATCTAGTATATAACTATTTACTGCCCTTTATACTACCTTCTAACTCTATTAGCTAAGGTATATATAGATTAGATTATACCTAAGACTAAGTTCTAATAATTATCCCCTTCCTTTAGAAAGCTACCCTTAGTAACCTAGATTATTATCTATCTCTATATCTCTATCCTAAATCTTATAAGACCTTAGTTATTCTCTATACTTTATCTTAGGAAAACTTCTCACACCCTAACGGACTAAACTAGTCAATTCAGGGTAAAACAGCGATTTACATACATTAAACGATAGAGTATACCAAGTATAATAACCTCCGATACACGTGCGTACGTATAGTATATAATACACGATAATACCGACGTATAGAGATACTATATATATACGCTCAAAGACTCTTCGATAATATAAGTATAGACTATATCTAATAAACGCTAATACGCTAACCCCCTTTTATTAGTTAAGGGCTACCCTTAACTAATAACTATAGCGGCCTTAGGCATCGTAATACCCCGGCATACGCCAGATATACCCCTACTAGTACGGTAGAAACGGCTATATAGCGATATTAATATAGATAGCTAGACACCTATCTAAAATATAGGAACTAACTAAGGGTGCGAAGCGCTATAGATAACCTAGACCGAGGGGACCCCGAGAGGGGAGACCCTCCTAGATAAAATTAAATACTAGATAATATATATAGAGAGGGACGCCGAGAAGGGAAAGAAGACCCTTCTTTATATATTCCGGGACCTTATCCGGAACCTAAGAGGAATTACGGAGGAAGAAAGGAAGTCGCCACGAGAGGAACCTAGTAGTAGACTTAACCGAATAGAAGCTAGTCTACGGAGAATCTAGGAAGAGCTATTCTAAGGTAAGCGCCCTAATATATAGACTTAGATTATAGTAATACCCGGAGCTACCGCACTAAGGACTACTAGAACTATAGATAGAGTATATAGTATACGTGTCGTAATCTAGGATAAGAATATACTAGCGTAGATCTAATAGGTATCCCTAAAGGAAATTATAAATAAGATTAATAAATAGAAAGGAATATAGTTAAGCGTCGTGGCTACTAAAGTTACGCTAGGTAGGATAGTACTTACTACTATAATAAATACTATATAGTAAAACATCTCGCGAGATCCGAACGCGATAGATAGTATCTTCCCTAGCGCGTCTATTAGGGTAGCTATATACCCGATTATAGTATACGTAGTACCTATACGGGGATAGACTATTA